AGAATGTCGATACTTTTCATAAGTACTGAGTACCCAATAAACATTTATAGCCGGTTGTTCAATGTCTGGTTATCACTACCACTACACTATCGACGATTTTGACATCATGCATGTAACATGTGATCGATAAAGCAGTTGTTGTGCTTAACCGGAGCTTCTACCTCCGATGCTTGACACTAATCACTGGTTAACATCGTTATCGACGTTTTCCACTCCATACATATAACACGGTGTCGGTAACGTCGACAACGATGTTTAACCGGGGATTAGTGTCAACCAGGGCCCTTACTCTGTAGTTCGATTCGAAAGAAAATTTGTTCGCTTTCGAACGATTGGTACTCTGAAAGCACCTTTCGAGTACCATTCGTTCGATGTTCGAATTCTCCAACTCGTTCGATGTTCGAATCCAACTCATAACTTCACTGAATGGAAAAAGGTAACAAATTTATTATGTTTTTGTGAACCATATTGTAAAACGTTATAATTATTTTTATGTAGATATGGGCAGATTATAAAAGCAATATTAAGGCGAAGTTGCGAAGGAATAAGGAGAGCATGTCGGGAACAGGAGGTGGACCATCGAGATTCTGTTCATTAACTGCGACGGAAGAACAAGTGGTTGCGTTACTGAACATAGATGAATCTATAAATGGCGAGGCTGAAACAATGCGCTTTGGTGCTACTACCTTCGGCGATCCTGCATCATCTAGCCCACTTGATTGTATAAACTTGGAGCCTGAAGAATATCCAAGTAATGATGCAGAGAATCAGCCACCGAATGCTATCCCCACTACGCCACCGATTGTTATTGCACCCCCGAATCGCGCACGCTCACTACCACTCGGCAAAGACAATTTGCTAAAACTTCAAGTGGAAAACCAATGCCAATATCACGAAAATTCGATGAAAAAGCTGGACGAAGTATGTGATAATTTAAATAGTTTAAGTAGATATTTTAAGAGGAATGTTGAGCTCGAAGAGGCTAAACGTCAATTAAAACGAGAAAAATTTGAATTTTTCAAAAAAAATGAAAAAAAGAAAAGAAAACTGAAGTTAAAAGCACTGAAGCTAAAAGCTAAACTTTGTAAATAGTTGATTTAAATGTAGTTATTTTTACGAATTCATATTTTATAAGTTTTTTGTTCCTTTGAAGACTGATGAATTGTTTTTTTAAGTTATTTATTTTTTAAATGGCAGATTAAGGTACAGCAGTTGCTTAGTTGTATTAATCAAAAATAATGAATATTTTTTATTTTTATGATAATTTCAAATCCAAGCAATCAATGAATTAGTTGTATGTAATTTTTTGTTGAATTGTTACCTGTGAATGAAAAGGCTAATGAATATTTTTAAATTTTTTTTATATACCAATGAAACTAAACTATATTTTGTGTCTTAGGTTCCTAGAAATGTTTTACATATGTAATTTTATAAAATGAAGACTGAAAAAATACTTTTATTTTATTTATTTATTGTTGATATTTTTACAATATTCGCAATGTTTTTAATTCTGAAACTTTTTT